CCCCCTCAATTCAAGAACAAATGCACTTATTTAAAGAAAAAATTACTTATCTAGATTTCGATTTTTTCCAGCAAACCTTCTTATGAGTCCCTTGGATTGGACTTGGATTGACTTGGATTTAGGACAATCAATAAAAGCAACTCTTTATCACAATAATGACCTAAAGAGAAAAGAGCAGGACAAGGAAGGTGCTTTAGGAGAAGTTTGTAAATGTCCTAAAGCAGCACAGGCAGAGCCTGTACTTAAATCAAACCGAGTGTTGTGATTATTTATATTGCAAAAAAAATTTAAATCTCAATAAATCATATTTTCCTTAAAATAAGTTTGTTTTTTCTTGAATTAAGGAGGTAAGTGAGACAATTTGCTAATAGAACAAGACAACATACATTAAATATAAGAAAAAACAATTATATTGTCTTATTACAAGTGCATATTATCTAATTATCTTATTTTAATAGTAAAAATACTCATTCCATTGGCAGATCATCTAATTTACCTGCTCAAATTAAGGGTAAATACACTTAATTCTGTACATTTTTGCTCATTTTTAGATAGTTTTTGCAGTGTTGACACATCAATATTTCAGGCTTTATGTGCTGCTGCTGCAAGAAGAGCCTCAACAAGATATTGATGTATGAGTGCAATATTTTATACTTGAAAAGGTTTTGAATAAAATAAATAAAGCATCTTTCTGAACACCAAATTTTATTTAATATAATAAAATGAAGTACAATGTAAGGTATGTGAATGTCTAATGGTACCATATTTCATAGCAAAGTTATGCTTTTTTAATATCTTGTACTTTTATTCTGAAATATACAGATTTATTATTATAATTTCAAAGTAAAATGTTTTTTTTTTTAACACAGTTCTCAAAGTAAAGTTATCAAAGCAGGAAATCTTTATTTTTTTTATCTCTTAATATTTTAACGTGGCTCCTTTTTTAAATGTAATCAGTTTCGCTGCCGTTGAAGGTAGGAGAATACAGGTTGTCATGGTTGATGAGTAAAGCTTCTACTTATTTAGGCCAAAGCTCAAACTGATGATTGAACCTCTTAAATTTTACATGTGAAACTGTTTCTCTCTGCTGCAGAGCTCAGTAAACACAAGCGCTATGAAATACGCATGAGTGTGTACAACGCTGTGGGAGAGGGGCCAGGCAGCCCACCCCAGGAGGTTTTTGTTGGGGAAGCAGGTATGTGCGCCTCTGTTTGCTTATTTTGGTGAGTAGAAGAGATTTGCACGGTATTATACTCATCTGTGGATGGAATCGCTGCTTGCTAAAGTTGAGTCTTTGGATTTATGTATTTGAAGCTGTACACTGCAAAAACTCGAAATCTAAGTAAATCATTTTTTCTTAAAATAAGTGAATTTTTTCTTGAACTGAGGACACTGGAAAAAATAGAAATCTAGATAAGTCATTTTTTCTTAAAATTAGTGTATTTGTTCTTGGATTGAGGAGGT